CACAGCCCTTTTAGAATTTTCTGCGCGTGTAAAAGACATTGAAAAAATAAAGAAAACGTATGAGGAATCCGTAACGCAAATCAACCTTTTACACTTAAATCATACACCTAAATATATAGCAAATTATAAAGAAATTGAAGCATTCGATTCTTTATATTATAATATAATGACTGTGGCTTCAAAACACGTTAGTGCAAATACCGAACAGACAAATACGCAAAACGCGCGTTGTGCACGGCCACGTTTACCTAAACTCGAACTATTCCATTTCGATAGTAAACTCGAAAATTGGCAAACATTTTATGACACCTTTTCTAGCTTAATACATAACAACGCTGAATTAAGCAACATAGAGAAATTTTATTATTTAATTACCTCAGTAAGCGGACAGGCATTAAACATTGTCAAAAGTCTGCCTGTTACAGCTGATAACTATACTATCGCATGGAATTTATTAATAAAGAGGTTCGAAAATAAACGAGTTTTAGCCACAAATTATTTAGATAGAATGTTTCAATTTAAACCACTATTAATCGAGTCGTCAGTAGGGCTCAACACATTTTTACAAACATTTCAAGAATGTTACAAAGCAATCAATTTATTAAATATTCCCGATTTATCAAGTTATCTATTGTTCTATATAGCATTCCGTAACCTAGACGCATCAACTCGCCGCGAATTTGAACAGAGTCGTGCGCATGATTCTCATCTACCTACATTCGATCATTTAATGCAGTTTGTCGAAAAAACAGGTTCGCGTGTTGGAACTATCCGACCCTAAGATTAGTACGAACAAGGTTCAAAGTAGTACGAAGCCGATAACAGGCGCGATACCAAAGACTGGGTATAAACCGACCAGTTTTAGTAAGACATCCGCGCCTATACAAAAACCGTGTTTGACAGTGGCTAGTGTTAACCGGCCAAATAAAAATGTTAGCGTTGAGAGAACTTGTGCGTTCTGTGGTAAGTCATCGCATTCAATTTATAGGTGTTTTGCGTATAACGATTTAACACCTATTGAGCGTTTAAATAAAATTAGGGAATTAAAACTGTGTGAAAATTGTTTACGCGATGGACATTGTTTCAGTGAATGCCCCTCTAAAATTAAATGCACTTTATGTAAACAAATTCACCACCTACATTTAGATACGAATTTAAATGAAGATAACAATAATACAATTCGAGCAATAGTTCTAATCAAAATCATACAGTAGCCTTAACGTGTTCATCAAATTCCACAGTGCTACTGGGCACTGCTGTCATCCACGTGAAGGACAACTGGGGTTCTTACCATTCCTTACGTGCAGTGATTGATAGTTACATACTTCAAATCCGCTTCGATCGATATGTTACTCGTATAATGACTTTATGCGTGAATGGCGGTTTTACCTTGCGCAAGTGGTCCAGCAACTGCACACAGCTGTTAGAGCGAGTTCCATCATCGCGAAACGCCGATTTGTTTTCCCGCGCTTTTGCACAGAGGTGTCGGTACCACCATATAGGTCGCTACGAATTGTTTGTAATACTGAAAATTAGGATTATAAATTATGTAACTCACTGACGATTATAAAAGTACTAAATATAAGAATATAAGCAAGAAATATCTCGCAGTTTTATTAGGACGCAACACTAGCGACTCACCTTCGCTTTGCTCGGATTCATGATTCATCCCTAATTTTAAACATTATTTTCATATACAGGCAACGATTTCGCCAGCTTATGTCCGGTCGGTAAAGCGGCCATTTAGCGCATTTTACTACAATTTGATTTGCAAATATTAAAATTTAAAACGGATTTTTTTTTAATTTAAAATAAAATATAACATACATTCGTCAATGATAGTGTAGCTTTCTATTAGTGAACGATTTTTTGGGATCGGTTCAGTTATTACAGAGTTTACCCTGTACATACTAACAAAGTTTACCTCTTTTTTATATTAGTATAGACAAAAAAGCAAGGACAAAAGAGTTCAATACAATTTTCTCCTGTGTTTGTGATTGTTGTGTGATCTATGAAAATTTAACTGATTCTTTTTTTCTTTAGTAGCTTTTGGTGAGTTTTAGTTTCCAATAAAAAAAATTGGATATTGTTAGTTTTTTAATGTAGATAGGTAAATTTTATTCATATATGTTTTCCTCAAAATGTTCAATAATAATTATGGCCGAATTTCGACCACTAGACAAACACGAACGAATTTAAACGCAAAATTTAAACAAGACAAATATTTCAAATAATAATCAAGGTAATATGAGTATAAAATTTCTTATAGGTACTATCACTTCAAAATAGTGTATAAATCACTTCAATTCAATTTTGGCTTTTTACCTACAATGTCACAGATAGGCACTTATAAACAGACATACATGTCAATCGTATAACATTACTCTTTATGCGGTGGTGGTTAATTAAAAAACAAGCTTAAATCAGATAAAAGGTCTGAATCATAAGCTATATTTTTTAGAAAATATTCTTATGTAACATAAGCTTATATTTTATGATAGTAAATATAACTTCAAATATATTCGACTAATATAGAACCTACTAGCGACTCACTCTCGCTTCGCTTCGGGTTCGTCTCTAGATAAAAACAAGTCTATACCACGGAAATCATAAATTTTTCCGGGATAAATAATTTAAGTGCTATTCCAGACTATAATCTATCTCTGTGCCAAATTTCATCCAGATCCGTTTAGCCGTTCTGGCGTGAAAGAGTAACAAACATCCATCCATACTTCCTCACAAACATTCACATTTATAATATTTGTAGGATTGAAATATGGTCGGTCACAAACAAAAACGCTTAAAAAACTTTTTATATTAAATTATTTTTTCTCCATTACTATACTTAAGGCAATTATTGTTTAGGCTCAATTAATTATTCAAATTCTTGATGGCGGCCGACGTTGATTATGATAATAAACATAATGTTCTTTCTAAAATTATATCGACAGATAACGCAATAATGCAGATTTATACTTTTTTTCATTAAAAATATTTATTTCTAGCTTGATTCCCAATACAAACTTTCATCCTCCCTTAAGGGATGATTTTCGTCCTTCCCAGGGTCTCAAACAATCTTCTTACCAAATTTCATTTAAATCGGTTTAGTAGATCCAGAGATTACCCCCTACAACGTCACAAACTCACAAACTCTACCTCTTTATAATATTAGTATAGATCTTAGCTTGTATTCTTATTTCTTATACAGTACTAGGGACTCTCCCAAGCCGCTTGGGTTCGTCCCTAGTTACGTTTTCTCAGACATGAGATATTAAAATTGTGTATGTTGACTCGGATAACCAGCTATCATCATACCAAAGTTCATCAAAATAAAAAGTTTTACGACCGCCCGCCTGCCTGACGTCAACCCTCTTTAGGAATGCTATTGTATCTATTTGTCTTAATGGTACCCAGACAGACAAACAAAAACTCTAAAAACTTTAGAGTCGGCCTCTGCATCGATAATAATGATATATCAATAAGATATTTTTTTTAAATATTTAATGTACAGGTTCGACTCAGTTAGAATTTTATTATAAAATAAACACCAAAAGAATATAAATTTTATAAATGTAAGAATAATCTCTGGAAAGATTGAACATATTATATTAAATTTTTTTCTCCTATTCAAAATCTACATGATCATTTATATCAAGAATGAAGGGAACCGCTGTAAGTTCGTGTGAGAATGTAATCGATTTTCATGGTTTTTTACTAAACCAACTCAAGGCTGTATATGTGGGCCGGAACCCCTAAATAATATGAATGAATATAAAATCAAAGAAGAAATAATTACTTTTAAAGTAGTTTTGAAGTCAGTGTACATTTTTACTTAAAAAGTTTTTTAATAATACAACACGCGATTGAATAGTAGCCAGCTTATGATAGTAATTAACATTCATGACATTCGTGTTAGCTATATTGTGTTTATATACATAGATAAGTTTATATTCATTGTTGTTAATTCAAATAGACAAACAAGTATGTGCATGGTTTATCCTTGCTGTAAGTCTAGCTACATCTATACATATAATAAAATTTTAACTAAGCTAAATCTGTACAGTACATTAAATATTTTTTGGAAAATCTTATTGAAATAGACATTATTATCGATGCCGAGGCCGAATCTATAGTTTTTAGATTTTTTGTCTGCCTGTCTGTCTGTTATCGCATCACGGAAAAACAACTAGAGGGATTTTGATGAAATTTGGTATGATGATAGCTGGTTATCCGGGTCAACATATAGAATACTTTTTACCGCGGGAAAATGTTTCATTTCTGAGAAAAAATAGTAAAGTGCAATGTAATATGTATATTAATATGTAAAACCTAAGAATTTGGTGTTTGGTCATCTGAACGCGGGCGGAGCCGCGGGCAATGCTAGTGTATATATATATATATATATATATATATATATATATATATGATGTCTTCGACTGCATAATCCTATGGTTCTTAAGGCATCAATATGCACCATCTTTATTGTTTGCATATTCCCCAATCAATTTTTTTTTTTATTTTTTATTTAACTATTTATTTACAGGTTTTTAGTTTTGGACAGTTAAGCAAAGACCAGCCAGCAAGCCAGAGCCAGAATTTGTTATCCCAAATTACTTTTGAATATATAGGTTGTTTATAATTTTAAGATCGCCTCATGAAATATAATAAATAATATAATCATAAAAACCTTCATTTTAATACCCCATCCGATAGGTTAGGAAGATTTTTTTAAATACAAATTGGCGCCTAAAATTCGCCATTTTTATTTATATAACCACAAACACCCACACTCGTTATCAAAACGAATCTAATGACATATGAATAATTAAAATTGGTTAAGCTGTTTAGTGATTACGAGGGAACGTAGGATCGGTTACATACATACAGATCAAACACATAAACAGATAACTTTGAACTTTGCTGCAATCGGGTAAAAACAAAACAAAAATACTTATACTATAATATTTTCCATTCATTTTGATATAATTCTTTGTTTTTAGGTGGTTGTTCGGCTTTCGGACACTCATGTTTTGGCGGCCACGGGAAAAGATCTAGTGATTCTGCTGCTATGGATGTAAGTAGACAGAATTTAACTGTAAGGTTAGGTGAGCCAGGCTAGTTTTTAAGGCTTTTGGTTTTTTGTGGCCTGATAGGGAGGTCCTACCCAGCTGTGGGAATTAAAAGAGATGAATGATTTTAATTATTATTATATGAGAAATTCAAAGGGAGTATTTTAAGTTTTTTTTAGTTTAAATGATCCGGTGTTTATATTTAGGGCTATTTATTGTATGTATGTTTTTAGCTCTTTTTGACGTCCCACTGCTGGGCACTAGCCTCCCTTTAATACGAGGGGGATTAGGCTATGGTCCACCACGCTGGCCAAGTAGGCGGACTTTACATGTCTTTCGAAAACTTTGTTAGGTTATCTAAGATATGCAGGTTTCCTTACGAAGTTTACCTTCAGGGTAAGATAAGTAGTAAACATGTTGAAAATGAGTCGCACGTGAAAATATCAGGAGTGCAAAACCCGGGATTTGAACTCACTTCACTCGGTTATCCAAGCGAGCGCATTACCACTGGGCTACCACGGCCTCTATATTTATATAGAACCAAAATATTGAATTATTTAGCTATTCAATAATTTTTATTATTAAAATATAAAAACAACTTGGTATACTTAAAAAAAATGTATGTAGAAGTACATAATATCGTCTACAAAGCTGCCCTGTTTTTAGCCAGAGGGTGTGTGCTTGATGTCGTAAACAAACTAACAGTCAAAACTTATGTTGTGTGTACTATCGACTAAACGTGGAGAGAACTTTCTTAGCTGACCTTGTTTAATATACAGTGACTATGGAATTATAATTTATTATTGAATGAGTATTTATATGCACTAAACCATTCTTTTAAATAACGCTGAAAAATAATTTGAAATTGAATAAGATAAAATTAGTAAAAAATGACCACTTATATAAAGTCAGCTTATGGGTACTCTTTTATAACTTTGTGAAATGCATTACGTGGTTTTGTATACTTAGGGATCACGACAAGGTGAACACATATCGGGGGGATTTAAGTATTAACACTATGTGTTGGTACTCGTATATGGATTTGCTTCCCGCTTAGAGTCATACTTTTACCATATCATGAATATCTTTAAAATTAAAAGTATGAAACATTAAGATGGATTGGAGAAGAGAATAACTACAATAAAAACATGATATAATTTTAGCAATTTTATATATACAATACTACCGTTTTCCTGTGGCTCCGCCCGTATAGTACATTAATCACCAACATATCATATACCACTATCAACCTTCTCCGAAACACGCTGCATCTTATGGTATGAGTATTATTCCGATCGGTTTAGTAGTTATCGCAGTATAACCAAAAAAAAATATCGGCTCTCCATTCATTAGTATAGATTGTAAAAAATCTTTTATTACTTTCCAAAAGTCTTCAAACTCGGAGTTTATGGGTCATCGTCAAGTTGGCCAAGAGGAGACTCCTCCACACCCTGTGTACCCTCACTCTGGATACGGGATTCTGCCTGGAGATGATATCATACCAGTTAGGGATGGAGGTAAGGCACTAAGTATGAAATTAAATTATTATGTATCAAATGGATGGAAAATATATACGGAATGCTTCTAGTGGGATTCGAACCCGTAATTTTTAGCTTAATTTATGTATGTATGTATATATCAATATGGAGCTATTGTACATACATAAATATATTATTTTTAAATAAAGTATTCATATAGCATATCGGCGAAGTGCTGTCTAATATTGTTTACAATATAATATGCGAGTTTTATAAGATTTTGATGTCAATCTTCCACTCGGGAGCGATAAGTGAGATGACAGTGTGATGACTTTAAAGGAAATGTTTACGAGCGGATTGATTTTATGACTCGAGCTTTATGCTACGGCGTAGCCAGTCTATCGAAAGCTTCGTAGCAACTCTACAATGCTTTGAAACTATTAAAGTAGCCATTTATATTTTATAGCTTATAGGCATTTGTATTATATACATATTTACTTTTTAGAGTTTCAAAACTAAAGGATTAAGATCTAAGTTAGAGTCCGTTCGTTTGTCTTTAAAAACCACGTCAGCGTTGTTGGTGAAAAGTTTCACAGAATAATAATAAATATATACATTATACATAGAGACTTTAACAAATAATAAAATAGTGAGAACTTAAAATTACCGATGCTCCTTATATAAAAGAAACTTGGTTTTATCGTTCTTTTTGTTTCGACTCTATCATAATGATGCTAATAGAATAAACGTCATTTTTGCGTGATTACAGTAGAAACCCTAACGAAAAATAAACAATAATAAATATTGACTTAGTATCATTTATACTCGTTAACTTAACTTGTGAATTAATGTCTGACCTATACGCTTGCCATTTGCATTAACTTTAAATCTCTACAAATGCTTGGCTCAAGAGTAACAAACAAACATTAATATCCACACACTCGCAAGTGCACTTGTGTATGTTGAGGAAGTATACATGATGTACGTCGAGCTTATATTAGCTATTACATTCGGTTCATCTTATTTCTATTATAAAAAAAAATTAAAACAATAGGAAACGGAAAAATTCAACAAACAATATGACGTTAAAAAATCATACAAACCGTACAAGGTAGTTTTTTTGGAATTTATCTTTTTTTATGCATAAAAGCCAACAACAGCCACAAACAAGTACTTGTAAACCTATATATACAAGCTAAGCTTAACACCTGCTCCTCATGTTTGACTTTATCATGGCTTGTCGAGGCTTGCCAAGAGTGTGTATCCAGCATAATGTATGTATATACATATATAATATGTATTTGACTAGACGTTTACTAAGTATTTATCTATTTTTAGCGTTTATTTTGTGCCTGTAGAGAATTTGTTTTGCGTCGTCGAGGCATCTTAAATATTAAATATTAATTATAGTTAATGAGTGTCAAAAAAAAAAATACAAAAAAATACATAAATAAATAGTGTTTTTATGTGTGATAATATTATTAACATCAGAATAGTCTCAAAAATGTTTAAATGATATTTTCTTATACTCAATAAATATTATCTTTTTCTAAAATTGTTTTTCTTCAGCTAAAGCAAGTATAATTTACAGGTGCTTTTGACCGAGACGACAACGTAAGAGACGCGTATAACGTGAAAATGAAGTTACGGAACATTCTCAAATACTGGGTAAGATTAATATGATTTTAGAAGACAATTTACTTTTTGGAAAAGACAATTAGATTGTTAAGATTATTTTGTGTTAAATATTTTAATTTTTACATACCATATAGTCATTTTTCATATTTTTTTACTTCTTAGGCTGTAAAAAATGTAATAATATTCAAAATACATCCTAAATGATTTAATTTTAAATCATAAAAAATCACCCAATCGTGTGTTTTAATGATAGAAATGCTTTCTAACATTTGGAAAAATTAACTTTTTAACCTTATTAGAATATTATGTTTATGTTTAAAATAATACAATTAATCAATATATCAACAGATGGACAACTATAGGCGATCAAGAATCAACAACGACGACGGTTATTTTATTGACACTCTGTAAAACTACGATTACGCTTGATTGTTTAATAAATTTCATATGTAGAATATAATGGAGATAACTTAATAAGCTTGGTTTCAGTGCTTGGCCAATCCAAAGACGTATCGCACAAGACAAACATACTAATTATGTTTTGTCATTGCAAAGTATTGTAAAAGCGAAATAAAAAAAATAAAAATTAACTAACGTGAAGTACACACCAATATAAAATACTTTACCAATAAAAAAATAATTTGTATATATATAATTTTCTGTTTTATTTTAACTGAAAATAATCAAGTTTATTTAGTTATCTTGATGTATTGACTGTTAGATATACTTAAACTTTTAACTAAAACTTAAATAGAATATTCATCTGTAGTTTAATGTCAATTATAAATCATGACATGGTTTCTTATTTATTTATAAAGGCTGGATCTTGCGTTTTATTATAAGCTGTATATAATATTTACTTATTAAAAATTCTATAAATGTTTTAGCTTAAATATATTTTCTTACTTAGAATGTTGTACCTGATCATAAAAATTATTTGAAATATACCACAAACTAAAGCGTTACAGTCTAAAAATATTGATTGACTGTTACTTGAAATGAGTTGTTATTATAGAGTGTTATCAGTTATATTAAAGCGATTATTTTTAATAGATATATAAAAATAATCTTTACAAAACAATTTTAATGTAGACAATGTCCAAGTTTCATTTTTATTGTGTTAATATTTTTTTTATATTGGAATGTTAAATATTCTTTGCTTATAGACTTATCCAGGCGTACTTTATCAAAAACATAATAAGAAAAAAATAACATCAATGATAATAATAGTTTTTTTTGAGTTTGGTTTATTTATGTTTCTCAATTAATTGATAAAATTATATTTATTATTAAACTATGACCAGCTTTGGTTTCTATTCATTTATCGTAAACCAAGCAGTAACTATTCATAATACGCGCGTTAAGTTGTGGTATGAAAATTAAAATTTTCTCCCTTTACGCAATTACTTGTAACATAAGTTTACCATCGTATAATTATAACGTAGTTGAGCATTTTCATAAGGATTGCGTGTTTAAATAAATAATTAGACACAATCTGCTTAATTGTTTTATTTTTAATATAGTGTACAATTCCTTATAAAATATCAGTTTATGCCCACTTCACTCACGTGATAAGCAGGACAAATATCAAGGGTAGCCTATATCCGAGGATGCAGTCTGTCGTTGCCAAATTTTATCGAAATCTGTTTAGCGTTTTAAGCCTAAAAAGATACGAACAGACAGAGTTACTTTCACATTTATGATATTAGTATGGATTGTGACTTAATCAACTAAGTGTAGTTATTCCTTCTCCATTATTTTCAAAGTTTTACGAATTACATTAGAAAATTAATTTAAACACTTGTCTGAATCGCACCTGAGACTGCATTTAGGTAGGATATTATGCTTCAGTGGCATAAACATTACAATTTTATTTAGAAACTTGATAAGACTAACTGGACTAGTAATATAAGAGATAAGAGCGAGAAAATATAAAAAGCATATAAACAATCTATCTAATTTTGATATTCTTAGAATAGACATACTGTAGATATAATGGAGTCATAATAGACACAATCTAAGTAATTGTGCTTTTTATATTACGTTTTAATGCATTGAATTGAATTGAATGGATTTAATGAATGAAGAATGATTTCAAGCGCAATTCGTAGTGTGTCATAGAAGCTATATCAACAGTATTAGTATATCAGATATAATCTACACCTAACTCGAGAGTGACAAGACTGAACCCGGAATTGCTCTTTTGAACTAAGAATAGCTAGATTTCATAAAAATCACTTGAATAAATCTAAAAACAAAATCTATATCCTCGCATTTGTTTTGCTCTATTTGCAACTTATTTTAGTTTTTATTAAGAGTGATTATATTTGCTGTAACACATTCACAATCAGAATATTGGAAAGATTAAATAAAACTGCGATATAATTCTAAAAATAGTCTTTAAATAAAACACAAAATGTCAATTGTATTCAGCCCTTTTTAACGTCCCACTGCTGGGCACAGGCCTCCCTTCAATACGGGGATCAGGCCATAGTCCACCACGCTGGCCAAGTGCGGCTTGGCGGACTTCACATGTCTTTTCAAAACTTGCTAGGTTTTCTCAGACATGCAGGTTTCCTCACGATGTTTTCCTTTACCGTAAAGCAAGTGGTAATCATGTTAGAAATGATTCGCACATGAAAATATCAGAGGTGCGAGACCCGGGATTTCACTCGATTTCCCAAGCGAGCGCGTTACCATTGGGCTACCACTGCCTTTGTCAATTATTCACGTAAATTTACGAAAGTATTAAATTTTTAAAAATCTCTAGGGGTCATGTACAGTGATTTTGGACTGAAAGAATTAATCGCTGGTGAAACTAACATACCAGTCTAAACTAATATGATAAAGATAAGAGATTTGATTTTTTGGATGTTTGTTTGTAATGGATTAATTAGCTCAAAACCTACATTGCCAAATTTAGAAATTCTATCACCTATAGTAAGCTACATTACAGCAAGTATAATGGGCTGTATTGTTTTATTTTCAAAAGAAATAGAGACTAAAATTGCACAATAATACCTAAGGTATCAAAAATTTGCCAATAAAAGTAATTACTTGGCGTGCGCTGCTAAAACAATTTATGATACATAAAATTATGCACTACATACATATATGTATTTATAGTACACTAGCATTGCCCGCAGCTCCACCCGCGTTCAGATGACCAAAAACCAAATTCTTAAGTTTTACATATTAGTATACTCATACATTGCAATTTTTGTATTTTTTCTCAGAAATGAGATATTTTCCCGCGGTAAAAAGTATCCTATATGTTGACCTGAATAACCAGCTATCACCATACCAAATTTCATCAAAATCCCTCCACTGGTTTTGCCGTGATGCGGTAACAGACATACAGACAGACAGACAAAAAATCTAAAAACTTTACATTCGGCTTCTGTATCGATAATAATATTTATTTCAATAAGATTTTCCAAAAAGTATTTAATGTACAGATTCGGCTTAGTTACAATTTTACTATACGAGTATATATAGATATCATTACCGACAAACAATTCTGCGAGGCTATATGACTAAATATTAACACAATAGCCATTTTTTGTTCAAATTAGTCAATTAAAACACGAGTAGAATTGAAAGATGATACTAAATAGTTTAATTATCAGGGTATTCCATTTAATGCTGTACTGTACCTACACCGCACTAAGTTTACTTATATTCTCACTTCTGAAGGGTTTCTGGAAGAAATCTCTTTAAGAGATAAGTTATCCTTTGTCGACATTTTTTACTTTATTTTGTATAACACATATTTTATGTTACATAAATAAATAAATAATAAAATATAATTATGTACATGTAAATTCATCTTAAAATTATTCGAATGAGATTTTTCGTTTGAATTATACGTAAAACGTACCTAAGGACGTATCCGACAAAGCGAGGGTAATTCTCTAGTATAAGATAATAGCGAAAATGCAAGAAAAAACCTTATGCTAATGACAGATTTAAAGGGATACTTCAGTTAATGCGTATATCTTTATATAATGTTAAACATTAATATTTCTGATGGAGAGTAAACATGCAATCAAAATATAGCAGCTGAAAATATATTATGAAAGAAAAAAATATTTTACAGGGCTTTTCTTGCTTAATGATGAAAATAGTACATACTTCTTAGACTGTGCTATTTATACCGTCTATACTTATTGATTTTTAATTTATTAAGTCATTTTTAAAGTGAAAACTTCTATAGGCAGGTTTGGGTGGGAAGTAAATTCATGTAAGTCGTCATGGACATGGTCACGTGACGTGTTAATGCTAACACTGAGTGCCGATAGATGTCAAAACCAGTAAAATGTAAACTGTTTTAATTTACAAATTTTCATTTAATATCAAACAATTAATTAGAATATCCAAAAATAATAACTGTTTGTTTATAGTTTTAAATTTTCTCTGCTATCAGCTGTCCTCATGACTGCTTTTTTTTGTTAATGGCTGTTAAGTACATATATCAGTTAAGCTATTTTTTTTTCTATTATTAGGGATATGTTGTGTATGTATATTAATTCAATTTTTATTTTTCAATTAGCGATAATGATAAGAGAATGTTATCTTGGCTAAGACTAAGGTCTAAGTGGCTTAATTGAATTAAACATAAAAAGCGATCTTAAACCTAAATTTAATATTTTACATTTTATTTAGCATTTTTAAAAGCAACTTCCTGATTATACTTTAATTCTACAAAAACTGTACGTAATTTAAATATAGGCTTTTGTTTTGATAATAAATATAGGCTTTTATTTTAATTATATTACCAGAATAGAATTTGGGGAGGGTTTTACTAAAGAATAGTAAAAAAAAAGTTTTTATTTTTTATGTTTTTTTTTCATGCACCATTCGCAGCTGAATTTCAATACTTTTTTTCCTTGATTTTCAAAACTTTAACTAAGACTTTCTGTCTTTTAGATTAAATTTAAAAAGGAGGTAAAACTTTATTCAAGTTTAATTTAAGTTTATTGTTTTTAATAAATATGTTATTAAATAAATTTCCGTTATTATAAACAAATTTCAAGAATTATCTTGCTCTTGTCAAATATTACTAATCACATTTCAGTCGATGATGCTGAGCAGATTAAGATAAGTTAACTTTCTAGCACTTTGCAGTGACCTTATATGATCAAGCTTTAACTATGACCTATAGCCAGCTATATTTATACGTGAGAAATGCTACACATAATAGAACTTTACTCACTAAATAACTGCACCCGCGTGTCCGTAACTCTTTGTAACATTCTAATATCTCATGGGAATCACTTAAACTAACGCCTTAGAAAGTAGTGTCGCTCTAGACCATAAAGCATATATATGCAAAAATATAGGTGACAACATAGTGCCTCTTCCTTTTTTGAAGTTGGTTAAAGATTATTTTGATCTACAGCGAGAGA